CCCTAAACCCCTAAATCCCGAAACCCGAAAACCCTAAACCCTAATGCCCGGACATGGTTGGGGTTTGGGATTCATGGTGCAGTGTTGATGCCAGTAAGATCCCCAGGCTGAGGGTGCCGGTTTCATGTGCCCCAGGGTTTAGGGATTGGGGTTTAGGGTTTTGGGTTTAGGGAAAGAGGGTTAGGGATTAGGGTTTTGGGTTTACGGAAAGAGGGTTGAGGGTTTAGGGTTCTAAGAACTTCGTCTGGAGTGAGATGCTCGGCCTAAGACCTCAAAGCATCAATGCCCTGAGGCTCCCCCAAGCCATATATAAGCCCTTAGTCAACCATGAGCCCGAAACCCTGAACCCGGAACACGAAACCCTAAACCCTAAACGCTACACCCTAAACCCTAAACCCTAAACCTTAAACCTTGGCCCAGGTACAGAGGTACTTCCACTCGAAGAAGGCCGACCACTTGCCGCGAATCTCCCGTTTCATTTCATCGCCGCCAAGGAGGTACAGGGCCACAATGCTGAGTATGACAGCACCTTCGGTTTCATATTTTGGGGCCTGAGCAATACTTAGAATATTTTGGGTTTGGGGGTATGATATAGCATGATTAGAATAGGAAACCCTAAAGGAGAAACCTTGGTATGTATTTAGGCCCTTGTAGGCGGGTGTAGGGTTGAGGGCTATCGGCACAGTAGGGACCGTGCGGCGTAAGACCACACCATCTGAAGCCTGCTAACCTCACACGGTACACTGCAAGAGCCAGAACAAGGCAACACGCACATGCACACACACACACACACAAATACCCTGGAGCCATCAACCTAAAGCCCGAAACCATAAACCCCCGAACTCCTCAGCAAGAGAACAAGAACCAACAAAAGGACTCGTGAGCCTACAACTCCACCTGTCGCAAGAGAAGCACCAAGACAGTTTAAGCAAGCCTAAAACTACCGTTCAGGGGTCGGGGTGTAACTTACGGAAACAGGAAACACAAAATGTCACGAATACACCCTGGCGGCGCCCAAAATAAGCCACGGGCTGATCTTTCCCCCGACAAGCTCACAGGGTTTTTTGGTTTTGGGGCTTTGGGCTTCGGGTTTACGCTGGAGGGCCTTAAGGCTTTAGAGTCTAGGGCCGGTTCGGGGTTTAGGGGTTTAGGGGTTAGGGGTTTAGGGGTTCGGGGTTTAAGGGTTTAGGGTTCAGCAGCTCCGGATCGAGCAGTTTTACAGTCAAGTTACATTCACGATCTAGACATAAAACCCACCCACCCTCGATTCCCACAACATGGAGAAATACAAAGTTTCATTTCCAGTTTACTGCCACATTTCTTTCCCACAATACAGTGCCGAATCCCGTAGTTGTCTACAGACTTTTGTTCCTAAACCCTAAAGGCCAGCCCAGAGGCCTAAATCCTAAATGCTAAAGCTTTGAGCCTTAACTCTAAACCCTAAAGGCCAGCCCAGAGCCCTTTCCTAAACGCTAAAGGCCAGCCCAGAATTTAGGCTGAAACCATAGTTTAGGGTGGCAACTTTCGTGGAACTGTTTAATGGATTCAAAGAACGAAGTCTTTCAACTCTTGCGATAAGACCCTTTGATGTCTAGAAGTTATGTATCTTTATTGTGTTTTTCAAGGACACTACAAGCTTGTAACGCGAACGTCCACCCTGAAATTTCTTAATGTATGTTTGTATTGTAGACGTTGTGCACAATAAGGACACTACAAGTCTGTAACGCGAACGTCCACCCGGAAATTTCTGTATCCTTATAATGTAAGCGTTGTGAACTTTGAGGTCACTACAAGCTTGTAACGCAAACGTCCACCCGGAAATTTCTGGTAGGCGTTGTGAACTTTAAGGACACTACAAGTTGGCTGAAAACCTGGGTTTGGGTGAGATCAGGGCTCTTCCGGCCCCCTTCTCGAGCCGAAAACCTGGCTTTGGGTGAACCCTAAACCCTAAACCCTAAACCCTACACAGCCAGCCTCGGCCATTGTCGTGAGAATTTCCGGGCTTGGTGGCCATTTTCGTGAGAATGGGCCGGGGGGTGGCCAAATTCTCACGAATAGCTTAGGGTTTAAAATCATAGGATAAAGAGTGTTTAGGGTTTTAGGGTTTAGGGCTTTAGGGTTTAAGGGTTTCGGGGTTTAGGGTTTAGGGGTCTTAAGTTAAGGGGTTTAGGGTTTTAGGGTTTAGAGGTTTAGGGGTTTTGGGGTTTAGGGGGTAATAGTTGAGGGTTTAGGCTCCGGGTTGCTGCTGTGGTCTTGGCTTCTTGCCTCCGGTTTTACTAGCTACTGAATATAAGGGGGCCGATTAATGTACACCAAAACCCAACACCCAATACAACAACGTCGTAATGTAGACACCAAACTCGCAATCCCAATCCCAAACCGTAAACCCTAAACCCTAAACCCCAAACCCCAAACCCTAAACCCTAAACCTGAACCCTAAACCCCTACGCCATCTTGTAAGCCTCACAGCCATAACAACTCCACGAAGATATGGGGGCTTCCGAAAATACCCTAATATAGTATCCTAAATAATTGGAGATCCTTATTTTAAGGACCCCGAAACAAGGGTCCCCCCCCCCTTATTTTCGCAAACTCCCACCCCAAACCCTAAACCCCAAAATAAGGTACCCCCCCCCCTGATTTTCGCAAACTCACCCTAAACCCTAAACCCCAAAATAAGGTACCACCCTATTATCGCAAACTCCCACATCCCCCGTATCCTAAAGAGTAGGAGATCCTTATTATAAGGACCCCCAAAACCTAAACCCTAAACCCTAAACCCCTAAACCCTAAACCCTAAACCCACAAACCCTGCCATTTCCCCCGGCCTACTAGAAGAGGCTTTTTCCAACTGGTGGGATCCTCGGACATGGAGGACATGGTGCAAGCTGGCATGACAATCCACCTGGGATGCAGGGCGTTTAGGGGGTTTAGGGTTTTAGGGTTTAGGGGTTTAGGGGTTTAGGGCTTAGGGCTTTAGGGCTCAGGGGTTTAGGGTTTAGGGTTTAGGGGTTTAGGGGTTCAGGGTTTAGGGTTTGGGGTTTAGGGTTTAGGGTTTAGGATAATCCACCAGGGATTCAGGGCTCAGGGGTTTAGCGCAATCCACCTGGGATTCAGGGCTCAGGGTTTAATGTAGGCGCCTCAATAAACACCAATACTATATTAGGGGGCTCCTTATTATAAATATAGTATAATATGCCCCAAAACCCCATTCTAATCATTAAGGCCCCTACATGAGGGCTTAAGGTTTAAGGATTTTAGGGGCTTAGGATGGGCTTTGGATTTAGGGTTTCGGGCTTGAGGACTCAAGGGTTCCAGGGTTTAGGGCTTCAGGGTTTAGGGGTTTAGGGTTTAGGGTTTAGGGTTTAGGCTTCTAGCGGTTTGAGCGTGTAGGGGTTTACGGGTTTTGTAGGCGTGCGAAGTTTCAGGATGTTTGAGGGACTTTGCAGGAGTAAGTAGGTGGTAAGTAGACGTATAAGTGGGTACAAAAAGGTCCTAATTGGGGTTTTGATATTTATCAGTCTAGAAGTAACTACCCCCGACCCTCCAACTAAGGCTTTGAGGGCTCTTGTCAGGGCTTATAGGGTCCAGCATTACATGAGTGAGGGCTTACATCACAATGCTTAGGGAATGGAGCGCAGGGCTTCAGGCTGGGTTTCAAGTTTCAGGGTTAAGTGCCCAAAGTTCTAAGCTTGGGCTTCAGGGCTTCGTGTAGGGTCATCTTTTTAGTTGAGCAGTTTCCGTTTGCTGAAAAGGAATTTAGCTTCGAGATGGGTCGAGGATGCTTCAGTGAACCTGTTGTCCAGAAGCTGATAATCTTACTAGCTCTACCTGACTGCGGCTTATAACCGAACGCACACCCTAAACCCCAAACCCTAAGCCGGGAAGGCTGCACGTCTCAATCAGACATACGCCCCACCCCCAGCCGAACACTGTGGACCCCAAGATCAGCAAAGAACGATCTGGGTGCCCCTCGTTCCCAACAAACCCAACGGGTTTAGGGGTTTAGGGTTTAGGGTCAAACCCTCACAAAGTCGTTAATGCTGAGGATAGGTTTCTGGGTATATTCAGTTATACTTCTACTAGAGAGCCGTAAGAAATATTGGTAATTACTCAGGCCTCTATAGTAGTGTAGGGGCCTAATACTTAGAATAAAGTTTTGGAGTTCCTTATTATAACTATAGTATAACACACCCCCAAACCCTATTCTAATCATTAAGGCCCCTAAAGTACACCTTGGCGACACTAAGATTTCGGATGTAGTGGCATGGCGAAGAGGCGGTTGCCGTTGGCAAAGAGGGTGGTCGTCATTGCCTTGGGAGCTGATGATACAGGGGTCTTCATGATAGGATTAGGGTTTAGGGTTTAGGGTTTAGGGTGTAGGGTGTTTAGGGTTTAAGGGGTTTAGGGTTTAGGGGGTTTTATTTCTGGTGTGGATATAATGGGATATTGACTCCGAACCTCTTCGGACCACCATCTTCAATCCGGGGTCTGGCATGAACTGCCGTGCCTGAAGGGAGGGCCTGGGAAAAGGCCTCCGGGAAGTCGAAAGAAAAACTGGCAGGTGCTATAGAATTCTAAACATAACTTCACCACCAGCCTGCGGGGCTTAATGCTGCATGCATACCAGGTGGTTTCATCACCCTAAACCCTAAACCCAAAAGCCCAAAACCCTAAAGCCTAAAGCCCAAAACCCTAATCCATGCACACCATGGGTTTTCCGCGACCTTCGCACGATCCCTTGAAGGAACAGCGGGATTGCTAAGCCACGCCCGGCTGCTAGGTGATCTCTCGTGTTTACCGGCCGATCCTGTTCAATCCGGTTTTGAATCCTGAGTTGCTGAGTTCATAAGCCACCAAAAGGTGTGCATTTCTATAAGGGATCATACTATCCAAAAAATGTAAAGCGTACTCACGCAGCTACTAAGAATCAGAATGCGCATGACGTCGAGGTGGCCTGTCAGGGCATGGCTGGGGGCTTAGGTTTATCTTTGTTGTTTGACAGGGCTCTTTCTGGTTTAGTATAAACCCTAAACCCTTCATCCTAAAACCCTAAACCATACAACCCTAAACCTGTTGGGTTAGGGTTCAGGATCTTGGGGTGGTCGAGATTTTTGGGGACACTTCAGGGGGTTTAGGGTTTAGGGTGATCTGGGCCATCTGAACGCCGCAGTTGAAACCCAGAGCCCTAAACCCTAAACCCTAGAATCTAAACCCTAGACCCTATACCCTAAACTCTAGACCCTAAACCCGAGACCCTAAACCCAGAGCATTCATGTCAAACTACCTAGATTAGGGTTTAGGGTTTAGGGTCTAGGGTTGAGATTCTAGGGTTTAGGGCTTAGGCCCCTTGGGAACCTACAGAGCCCTCAGTGGTTTGGGGTTTGCCTAAACTCCTGAGCTCGAACCCAAAGACTTCGAAGCCTTGGCCTCTGTAAAGGGGTTTAGGGTCTAGGGTTTTGGCGATCAGGATGGTTAAAGACTTCGCATAGTACAGGGACATTCATAAATTAGAACAGGGCTTTGGAGTACCTAAACCCTAAACCCTAAACCCCTAAACCCCTGAACCCTAAACCTGCTACTATAGGTAAAGTTCTAGGGCTTTAGGGCCAACTTTAGGGCCTGAGAAGGGTTTATAGACCCTGAGAATGGCTGCATGGGGGCCTCTGAAGACTTTACCCTAAACCCTAAACCCTAAACCCTGAACCCTAAACCCTAAACCCTAAACCCCAACACGTGCTTTCAAGACGTGTATAGGAAGGTTTTAGGGTTTAGGGTTTAAGGGTTTAGGGTCTAGGGTTTAGGGTCTAGGGCCCCATACCCAAGTCCCTTCCTGGGAGTTTTCGAGAGAGGGTTTGGGGCTAGGGGTTTAGGATGGGTTTAGGGTCCATGCTGTACTCGTGCACCTCAGAACAAGACAACCCTGATCCTAAACTGCCTTGAATCCGTAAGACTTCCCTGCTCTAACTGGGCAAGACTGACACCCCAAATTGAGGCCCAAACCAACAGACAACGATGCAAGCAGACACAGCCGCAACCAAAAACCAAACAAAATCAAAAAGCCCAAACCCCCAAGCGAGCCAAAACTCCAAACTATGAGCCCTAAAAACACCCACAAACCCAAATTCTAGACCACTAAACCCTAGACCCTCAAGCCCGAGAATCCCCAAACTCTTACTAAACCCCAAAGCCCAACACCCCTAAACCCAAAACCCCTAAACCCTAAACCCTAAATCCCTAAACCCTAAACCCTAAACCCTAAACCCCTAGACCCTAAACCCTAAATCCCTAAACTGCTAGACCCTGAAGCTCTTGACTCCCCAATGTCCAGAGCACCTCAACCCCCGAATAACCTAGCTTTTCCAGGGTTTAGGGCTTAGGGCTTTTAGGGCTTTAGGGTTTCAGGGTTTAGGGTTTTCTGGTTTAGCGTTTTTTTTTGATCTTTAGGGCTTGGGGTTTAGGGTTTAGGGTTCTTGGGGAAATCAGAGTGGGGAGGCCCTGAACATACAGGTTTATTTGGGGTTCAAGTAATGTAGGGGCCTCAATAGTTAGAATAGGGCTTCAGGGGCTCATGAATAGAATTATAATAACATATACCCCCAGACCCTTTTCTATTGATTAAGGCCCCTATAGCAGGCCTTTGAAGACCACGATGAAGACTAAACCCCTAAACCCCTAAACCCTAAACCCTAAAACCCCAAACCCCTAAACCCTAAACCCTAAACCCTGAACCCTAAACCCTAAAACCTCAAACCCCTAAAACCCTGAACCCCTAAACTAAACGGCCTTTGAAGGCCGCGATGAAGAGCATGTTTGTATCCGTGAGGCCCTTCGGCTTCACGGCACCTGCCTCGGATCTTGGGCGCCTTTGAGGGGTTTGGGGTTTAGGGTTAAGGGTTCAGGGTTTAGGGTTTGGGGCTTAGGGCTCGTGGGGTCTAGGGTATAGGGTTACGGGTTCAGGGTTTGGGGTTTAGGGTTTAGGGTTTGGGGTTTAGGGTTCGTGGGGTTTATGGTTTAGGGTTGGTGGCTAGGGGTTTGGGTGTTAAGGCTTAGGGTTTGCGGTTAGGGGCTTGGGTTTGGGGTTTAGGGTAAGTGGTTGGGGGTTTGGGTGTTAGGGCTTAGGGTTTGTGGTTAGGGGTTTGGGATTTAGGGGTTTGGGGTTAGTGGTTGGGGGCTTGGGTCTGAGGTTTAGGGTTTGGGGTTAGGGGTTTGGGTGTTACGGTTGAGGGTCAGTGGTTGGGGGTTGGGGTTTGGGCTTCAAGGGTTTGGGCAGGAGTGCTCTTCTTCAGAAGTCCCAACTTGCAACTCTGAAAGGCCAGGTGCGTCGATCAGCGCACGCACCACGTCGGCATGGCCCATGCTCGATGCAGCGCCGAGGGCATTGCCGTTCGCGGTTTTCCTTGGGAAGACCAAGAAACAGACCCGAAAATCTCATTGCACGCAGCTCCCGGGTTGATGCTTCAAGCTCATGGGTGGAGACATGTTAAAACCCCTAAACCCCCTAAACCCTAAACCTCTGAACCCTAAACCCCTAAACCCTAAGCCCCTAAACTCCTAAACACTAAACCCCTAACTCCTAAACCCTAAACCTATAAACCATATAGACCCTAAACTCGAGCAACCACCACCTAGCAAAAAAGCGCTTTTGAAGTCGCAAGCCAAACGCGTGAAATAACCGAAGGCCCTGAACACGACATGCCAAACAGTAAGACCGAACAAGCCAGAAACCCCTTCAAGATCAACCCTAAAACCGAAACGCTAAATCCTAAGCCCTAGAACCTAGCACCCTAAACCCTGTAAATGTTGATGGGCGAGTACTCATGTATGCAGTACATAGCGCCCGACGCATCTCCAGCATCACTCAGATAGATCAAGTTCTTCTTCCGAATCACATCGTCCAAATCTGTTCTTGCAGTTTTGATGGGCTGCGGAGCGGTGGAATCATATTATGGACCAGAGGATCCTGGTGCTTGATCGACAACTCTGACAAAACAATGTCTTTCCAGACAAAGACACTTTGCCGTTTAGGGCCTTCATCAGCTCAAAAACACTTTAGGAAAGTCCGCAAGCTGACGATGTACAGGAAAAACCTTGTGAAAATATCAGTGAGCAGTCTGGAGGTTGGTAATTCACTTCAAAGTTTTAGGGTTTAGGGTTTAGGGTTTTAGGGTTTAGGGTTTAGGGTTTCAAGCAGGGACACTAAAATGAAAAGGGCGACAAAGTACTACTGGGAGCCTATACCAGAGGGTCATTCTTATTATGGTTTTGGCAACCTAATTCCATAATTTACATAATAGTAGTATATGTGGACCCTTAGGGTTATACCTGAATCAACCTGAAAGCCACACGTAAACGACCGAACGGAAGGATGGTTCCCTCAATCTCAGAGAAAGGTTCAGGAGTCTGAGGAGGATTCTAGAAGGGCTCTTCGAGTCTGTAAGGTTTCGATAGGGTGTGTAGGGCTTGGGGTTTTGGATTTGGGATTCTGGGGTTCAGGATTTCGGGCTTAATGTAGGGGCCTAAATAGTTAGCAATACTATTTTGGGGGTTCCTGATTAAGATTACAACGTCATGGGCCGAAAAAACATATTCTGACTATTGATGCCTCTACATTGGAGCCCGGCGAAATCTGTGAGCCCAAGTGTCAGATCTTTGTCTGCGCGTGCCTTTCAGGGGGTGAACGGTGTAGGGTTTAGAGTGCTCTTGGACGCTTGGTTCCCACGTAGTCCTGTGAGAATAAAAGTACCCTTTTCCGATCATCAAGCTTGAACAACGAAAATTAAGAATAGGTAGGGTGAAAGGGTATTATCGCAGACCTAGGAGGAGACTACCTTGTAATTCAGGTGCAGCTCAGGGACTACACAGGGCTCGTGGTTTCAAAACGGACGCGGGACTCAGGCTGTGGATACAGGCTCTACCTCAACCCCCAATAACCTCCCTTTCGAAGGACTTATGTAATAAGGAAATCATAGCAAGGACTGATTTTATAAGGAAATCATAGCAAGGAACCCTCTAAAGAGGTAGGTTTGATAGGGTTCAGGTACAGTTATGGGTCTGATGCATTCGAGGCATAGTGCGGCTGTCACGACATGCTACAGTTTAGGGTTTAGGGTTTAGGGTTTAGGGTGTGATGCTTGGCGGAAGCAGTGGTCATGAACGGCTGGGTAAATAATAAGCAGCTTCGGTTTAAGCCGCAAGTGAAATGAAAGGAGGTTCAACAGCTGTTGTCTGGCCTGTTCACCACTGTTTGTTTAACGGGTGTCGCAGACTACATGGGGATTCCCAAAAATAGGGGACCCTAATATAGTACCCCAAATAGTAGGATCCCTATTATAAAGACCCCAGAATAAGGTACCCCCTATTTTCGGAAACCCCCACATACTTCAAGCTTCATGCAAGACCCTTCATCACGCCCTCAACCCCAAAAGCTCAAACCTTAAACCCAACACAAGTACACTGAAACCAATGACATGCCAGGAGGTTGACAAGGAATAATCACGAGCAGCCAGCAGACAGCAGTCTTAAGCCAAAACTACAACCGGTAATCCAAAAAATCCGCAACTCTAGCCTATGGTAGTGTAGACCCATGATGAACCGCCCAGTGAAGGATTTTTCTGTCAGGGATTCAAGACTGGTGGCCTTTTGCACAGGCTGGTCTTCGCGAATGAAGTTTCTCATAAATCCTCGAGATACGGTTGATGATATAGATCCTGCATTACCTATGAAAAGGAATATACCATAGCTCCCATAGTCTAGGGTCCTTCAGGTAATGCAGGATTTCTATCATCAACAGTACCACATAGTCTCTCTTCTTCAAGAACCGGGCCCCAAAAGACCCTAAACCCTAAAACCTACACCCATTGGAGAACCCTTCGAGGACGCTTCGTAGGAAGAACCTTTGAAAGAACTCCGCGGACCTTCAGAAGCTGTCTAACCACAGGCGCCTGCGGGGGTGGTGTAGGCTTAATGTAGGAGTCTCAATAATCAGAAGAAGGTTTGGGGGTAAAAACAACTATAATCAAGATAAGGAACCCCACAAAACCCTATTCTAGTTAGTAAGGCCCATACGTTGGGCGTTTAGGGTTTGCTAGTGGGTTTCAGGCTTTATAGGTCTTGGGGCTTCAGGTTCAAGCAGTGCGGATGTGTTCAGTTTGGGGCTGTATGGGGTGGTGTGAGGGCTTTAGGGTTTAGGGTTTAGGGTTTAGACCCTAAGCCCTAAATCCTAAACCCTAAACCCTAAACCCTAACCCCTAAACCCTAAATCCTAACCCCTAAACCCTAAGACCCCAAGCCCTAAACCCAACAAAAAGAGACTTCCGGGTTTTCAGGCGTTCGCCGCTCGGGGGTTTGATGGCATGTAGTCTTGTAGTCAGGGTGTCTTGACTATATGGGTTTAGGGTTTAAGGCTAAGGGTTTAGGGTTTAGGGTTTAGGGTTTAGGGGTTTAGGGGTTTAGGGGTTTAGGGTTTAGGGTTTAGGGCTAAGGGGGTTTGAGGAATACCCCTCAAAACTGGGACAGGATCAAGAGCATTGAAGGACCGAAACCTACCGGGTTTGAGGTTTAGGGTTTAGGGTTTAGGGGTTTAGGGGCTTAGGGTTTAGGGGATCTTATGAGGAGTTTAGGCTGCAACGGATCGCAGGGTTTGGGGTTCAGGTTCAGGCTCAAGGCGTGGGTTTAGTCTTCTAGGATGGTCTTGGCTTTAGGGCTGTTCAGATGTCTCTATCAGCTCGGAACTCCAACAGTTCAGGGTTTAGGATCAAAAGGGCTTATAGACCTTCTCAATAAGGCCATTTTAAGAGAGCCATAAGTAGGGTTAAGAAGGGTCCCCTTTGACAGGGGTCTCCCTAATACTACCTAGGAAGACTCCTAGACTCAAACATGAACCGTCTAAGCCCAAATTCCTAAACATACCCTGCACGCTGAATCCCCCTCAAGTTTAGACCCCATGCTCCTCAGGAAGACCCGATAAACCTTGAATGCCCTAAACGCTGAACCTTCAAGCGCTACTTGGGCCCCAAAGTATGTAGAATAACCGCATGTGCATGAAGTCTGGGCTGTTGTGTTACCTCCTTTGGGAGTTCACGCAACCATTGAAACCCAGACGCGTAAACATTTCTAAATCTTATACCCCTCCGCCAAAAAGCCAGGTATTAACCCCATCGCCGTACAGGGAACCCATAGAAACCCTCAAATGAAGCCCGTTCTACTTATAGGCTCCCTATATGTCGGCTCAATAATATCCAAATCCCAAAACCCAAAACCTTAACTAAACCTCACACCCGAAACCTTAGACCCTAACCCCTAGACCCTTAACCCCAAGCCTTAACCCCTCAATCCCTTAACCTGTAGGACTTCTGATACGTCTCTCAAGGAACCCCAGACCCCAAACCCTAAACCCAAAACCCTAAACTGAAAACCCCCAAAACCCCAGAACCCTAAGCCCCAAACCCCCAAACCCCTAAACTCCACCGTTTGAACTCCAGAAACCGGCCGGGCCTGGCCGGCGGCGGCCGCGAGAAAAAGGGGCGGATACCCAGCCGAAGCTTCGTCTACCCAGGCGCTGGCCTCTTAGGGTTCGCGAAGGCTTCATAGGGTTTATAGGTTTTCTGAGTTTGGGTAGGGTTAATGCGAGAAAAACGGATTTGAGGGATTTGAAACACATACAAGTGTTGTTCGGAGGCACTCGGTGAATTGGGGGGTTCAGGTTGTCTTGGGAAGAAGTGACGCAGGTGCTGCGGTGTTAAGCATTGCCTGGAATTCCAATTGTGTCTTTCGGGCTTCGTGACTCCCAAACCCTAAACCCGAAACCCTAAACCCGAAACCCTAAGCCCTAAACCCGGAACCCTAAACCCTAAACCCCAAAGGTCTAGGGCTTTCGGAACTTGAAGGCCTGCGTTCGTTTTTCTCTAGGAGTTCCGGTGGCTTCTGAGCCTGAGGTACTTCGGCTTTCTCAAGTTTGGCCTACCCATAGGCCCCATAGTAGTTCCTTTTTGGGGTTCATGTTTAGAACCCTATAAGGTAATCCCACAAAGGAACTACTATGGGGCCTATGGGTAAATCTTGAAAACCCTAAACCAGGGCTCCGCGTTTGCTACACGGGTAGTTCTCTGAATTAGGGTCCCTTTCTAGGATGGGGGCACCCTTCTAAAAAGGATCCCCCCAAAAAGGCACCCTAAATCAGAGAAATACCCACATAGAACCCTTGTAGTACCCTTATAGAAGCCCCATAAACCCACACAGAAGCCGAAGATCCCAACAACCACCCCCCACGCCAGAAGCCCACAGCCGACCTTGAGCAGCACGCGCACGACCTCTTGGTGGCCTTCACCCAGAGAGCCCACTACCCCTTAACTAAGGAATAGTCCTTACAACTTATATTTAAGGTAAAGTCCTTTATTAAGGGGTATTGGGTTCTCTGGGCAGGACGCTTGTGGAAGCCGGATCCAGGATTTGGTGTTCCACCGGGTTTTCATCATCGGTTTAGGGTTTCGGGGTTTAGGGTTTAGGGTCCAGGGTTTTAGGGGCTTAGGGTTTAGGGGTTTGGGGGTTTAGGGGCTTAGGGTTCAAGGGTTTAGGGTTTAGGGTCACTCTGGCCCTAGAAACCAGCAACTCCTCGACCCGAAACCCGATCCTGCGCAGTACGTGCGCCGTGGTGCTTGGGGAAAGGCTTCGGGGCTACTATACTATGTTAAGTTATGTACAGTTATGGAGGGACTGTAGGAAAAGGTGTTGGACTATTATACTACTGTTGATGGACAAAATTCTGCATGACCCAAATATAGTATTGTACCATAAATCTCATAGTTTAGGTATACAAGGTCATGCAGGATGTTGTCCATCAGCCGTATTACTATGGTATGTACGGTTATGGAGGGACTGCATAGGAGCTTAGAGCCCCTACGTCACGTAAGCCGCCCAGCCTTGTCTCGATGCTATTGCCAGCGGCGTGCCATTGACGAGGCCCAAGTTCCTAGCTTCCGAAGTCTTGGGTTTAGGGTTTAGGGTTTAGGGTTTAGGGTTTAGGGTTTAGGGTTTAGGGTTTTTTTACTGCATTTGGCTCTCTTGAGGGAGTCCTTTGCCGGGCAGAGAAGCTTAAGTTTGCGGTGTCAGGCTATTGAAATACGAAGCTTGCGGGTCTAGGGTCTAGCGATCTTTGATTGAGGGCTCAGGATTTAAGGTCGAGTTAGCCCCACCTGCACGGTCGCACATATACACCTATCTCTTAGCACTCCAAGAACCCTAAAAAGCCTTGCACATCTCACTGAGCCATAGACCTTTCTTTCTCTGGTAGTGGCACGCGACACCCGTGCAAAATGAAATCCTAACTGGGTTTAGGGTTTAAGCTTTAGGGTTTAGGGTTTAGGCTTTAGGGTGTGGGGTTTAGGCTTTAGGGTTTAGGCTATCCTAAGTGCACTCTGGATCCGAAATGCGCCGAACTCTGTAGAGCCCTACACAAATTCAGCCAGAACCAACGAACCGACGACCCCAACAGCCCTAAAGAGCTCTTGAAGGAGCCCGGCGAGGCCTTGAGTTCAACCCATCAGGGTCCCAGTGCCCAAGAATGGGTTTAGGGTTTAGGGCTTTATAATAACTACTATCCTAAGCCCAGCTACCTAACTCCCGAAGCTACATAAGTACTCTCAGAAGCCCAAGGTTGCCCTTTGCGCCCTAGTTTGGATACATTAGAGTGTAGTTAGGGGGGTCTAGGTAAACCCCTAAACCCTCAACCCTGGACCCCTGAACCCTTAACCCTAAACCCCAAAACCCTTGAGCCTAAACTCTCAACGCGGAGGGTCCAGGCTTGGACCCTTAACCTTCAACCCTAATCCGTTTTGAAATGCGACCCTAAACCCCTAAACCCTAAACCCCTAAACCCAAAACCCCTAAACCCTAAAACCCCTAAGCCCTAAACCCCTAAACTCTAATTCCCTAAACTAACCCTTGACTCAGGCGTTTAGGAGCTTCTGAGCTTTTTGCCCAGGCGCTTGTTCGCTCCCGCCTCGAGCAGGAGACGGACCATCTCCTTGACTTCGGGGTCTCTCAGGGCGGTTTTTACCAGGCCGCCGGTTCAGGGCTAAGGATCACGGGTTTAGGGTTTAGGGTTTAGGGTTTAGGGTTTAGGGCTCAAGGGCTTAGGTGGGTTTAGGGCCGAGCTTGGGGTTTGTAGGGTTTCATTCAGCCAAAGTGGAGGACTGAGAACGAGGCAAATTCCAGAAGTCTGTTGAACCCTAGCTCCCGGCGATCATGGTACCAGGCAACTTGTCTTGCGTGTCATGCCAGCTACGCAGCCCACAAAACACCAAGCCCGAGTGCTAAAGCAGCCCTGAAACATGTCATGCACATGCACAAAGATACAAACAAACCCACACATATACACACATATGTATATATAAATAAATATATATATATATATGACATACATA